GATTTACTGGTAATATGAGGGAAAGACAACCCTGTTACATCCCTATGATTTTTGCCACCCACATCCTGAATGGCATGTTCTTCACTCAAAGAATCCACATTCTGCACATAGGAGACCCACACTTCACAGACAGAATAAATTATTGAAATTAAATATATCTGAATGCCTCCATTTAGCTTTTCCCAGCATTTGTTTTGCTTTCAAAGACTTGGCTTATGATGAAAATGGCATGTTTGAATGAGAAACAAGGTTAACAGGAGCCATAGAAAGAGGGGAAGTGCTCAAAGATTGAGTTCAATGGACCTGGGAATTACCACATGTGGAAGAGAATTATATTTAGAAACTTGGCTGTGTGTGTGTGTGTGGGGGGGGAGGTTTGGGGGGGGGGGAACAGATCTTCTTTGAATGATAGATTTTGTACCAGATTATAGACTGTGGGGTAGAGAATACATATGGATATAGGAAACTGCCTTATCTAGCCTGGTATTGTTGACATATGACAACTTCGGTGACAGATGTTGGGGTTTGATCTGAAATGTAGTTAAAACTCTCCATGAACTTAAAAATATGTATATAATTCATTATTTTCAGCCCTCCTATAGACATGAGTAGAAGAGAACCGCAGTCTGAAAAAGAAACCTAGCAAATAAACCACATGAGGAATGCATGCAGAGCAATATCTTTATAAGTGTATGATTTTTCATGAATAAAATGTGCATCTTTGCATCTAGATAATTGTTTGAAAATGGTTGAGCTGTTGTTTCAAACTGCCAGATTAGCATAAGATATTTTTAAAGATATTAAAAGTGAGCATTCATGATTTATTAGCTATTCATCTATATCTGCCTTTCTCCTTTGAGAAATCTGCTTCTAAGTTTGCTTGGAAACTAAGATTTAGCTTGTTATCCAAATGAAAAATTCTGAAAATGTACACTGATATATTAGCCTTCACAATTTATGGCTTTGAAATACAGTTTTAATATAAACATCTACATTTTTCTTATGCTATATTCCCCACAATGCCTCAGAATCCATGGCTAAAACATTTTAGTAATTAGAAATTGCACATTCAAAATAGAGATTTTTCAAATGCTTCCATGTCCATTTCTGTTACAGACATGGCCATCTGGAAGCATGATTTCTATGACTGTTAACAATTAAAATTATTAAATTTAAAATTAATTATTGTTTTAAGTTATTGGTTTTAAATTATTGCCGAGATGTTCTAAAATTTTTAATGCTATTTGATGGTTGTTTATTTTTCCTTGTAAGCCGCCCCGAGGCTTTCTGCGATGGGGGTGGCATAAAAATGTTATAAATAAATAAAATTATAAAGAAATGATGTATTCCTAGCCAGATGAATAATTTGTGAAAGCTACTGATGTGCTTTATTCAGACTTGTTGAAGAAAGCAATCTTTCATTGTCTTGGTGATGTTCTGAACAGTGGCTCAAATGTAATTAAGGCTTTCCTGCTCTTTTAAAGACTATGGCAGTAGCCATGACAAAGCTCTATGAGGCATGCATGGTTTTGTTCTGAAGCTGGACTGCTGCAAGCACTCCAGGATAAGCAGAGGGATTCAGCTGGTTGAGTCTACGTACATTGACAATTTCTTCAGTTACAAATGTGATCTCTCAGGGACCTTTTAAGGAATTTAAAGCCCGGCGACAGTAACCCACGCTTTGGTTACTTCCCGACTAGACTTCTGTAACACACTCTACGTGGGGTTACCCTTGAAGACGATCTGGATACTTCAATTGGTGCAAAATAGAGCTGCCAGGCTGCTGACGGGGACTGGGTGTTGTTCTCATATAACCCCAGTTCTCTGTCAGCTTCACTGGCTCCCCATTGAAGTCCGGGGCCAATTCAAGGTGTTGGTTATGACCTATAAAGCCCTTAATGGCTTGGGACCTGGTTACTTAAAGGAACGTATGTGTCCATATATGCCCTCCCGCCCCCTACGATCGGCAGCAGATGCCCTTCTCCGGGAACTGTCTGTGAAGGATATTAGGAAGGTGGGTACTCGGAGAAGGGCCTTCTCTGCGGTGGCGCCCCACCTATGGAATGCGTTCCCCAGAGAGGTCCGCCTGGTGCCGTCACTATTTGCTTTTCGGTGCCAGGCGAAGACCTTTTTATTTAAAAGTTATTTTAATGGTTAATTTATTATTATTGTATTTATAGATTTTAATATATATAGCCGAGATGGTACCAGTTTTTGAATTATTAATTGTAATTTTTATGAATGCTGTGAGCCGCCCCGAGGCTTTGTTGCAATGGGGCGGCATAGAAATGTTTTAAATAAATAAATAAAATAAATAAATTTACAGGTGGAGGGAGGGACCAGAGCATCACATTACCTTTCTGAAGGCACTCATTCAGCAGAAGGACTCTAATCCTTGTCCTTGCTTTTGGTGTGTTGGGGAAGGGAAATGCCCCCCTGTGCTGCCTTTCTGAAGGTAGAGATCCTTTGTGAGGGCCTCTATTCCTGCTTCTTTCCGTGTGATGGGAAACTGAAGTGCAGAGATTGGGACCTCATGCTGCCATCTGCCTTCAGAAATGGGGTGCCATGCGTGGTGTCCCCCCTCCTTCATTCACTCCTCAAGGCAGGTGCCTAACCCCACGTAACTGAAAACCCACCATTGGGGTGAGGTGATTAAAAAAGCAGAGAAATAAATTAGTGATGTTTTGAGCTCCCTTACAGAGAAGACTATTATAGTTTCACTTTCAGGAAAGCAGATTCAGATTCTTTCAGGAGAAGTCATCTGTCTCAGGCTCCACAAAGCCAAGATATGTATTTATAGACACACACTATGATCAATAATGATATTGTGAGATGATATTGTGTTTGCTTACAACTTGCTCTCTATGAACCAACGCTCTTCCTTGGTCCCTTAGACTCAAACCTAAATGGAGAACATGGGATACCTGGGACTGGAAAAAAGGCCCTATGTTGTCCTGATCCTTTATTGACTTATGAAATATTTGAGCTTTTAGTGTATTCACTGAATCAAAGACTTCCATTTCCCACTGCTCAACCTATCCTGCCAGCTACTGATGAAAGCAACCAACTGGAGTTCAACTCACAGGAGGATTCTCTCAGCAATAAAACCATAGGCTTTATAAAAGAGCATCATGTTCTGACTAAGCACAATTTATGATATTGCACAACATCACTGAAGTACGTGACTAGGGCTACTTGTCTGTGTAGCCAGATTGGAAAGTTGATGCTTGAGATTCACTATGGATTACAAACCTTCCTAAGTATTGCAAATGTTTAGTGAGTAAAGGATAGAAAATGTGCACACCCATAATACCTGGCCTTTACATGTAAAGGTCAAATTGTGCTCTTTCTTATTCGTTTGTGCAAGACAAAGCCCTCAGTTTTGCTACTGATCAGACAATATATTAATATTGCTTCATGAAATACAGCATCACAACTAATAGGAACATTAGTTAATGATACAAAAATTGCACAATACATTGTAGACATAAGTTCTTGTGAGTTATTTTTACTTTAAGTATGAAGTGGAAATTTGCATATAAATGAAACCCCTAAATATATAAAATACCAAGATTTTTTAAAAAGATCCTCCATACCCCTTATCTCTTAATTATGAAGTATGTCCAAAGGTGTCCAAGTTCATTCTATTGGTTGTAAGGCTGGGGTATGTTACCTTTTGTACCACAGAGCAGTGGGAGGTTGAAATGAAAGTTTATAGATCAATGGCAACAGGCTACTTTTCTTGAAGTTAATGTAACTGAATTGAATAAAGCTGATAAGTGACAATCAATGGAGAACAGGAATTGCTCTACTTCTATACAGCCTGCATACAAGAAATAATTGTGATAGGACTAGAGTCTGACTCTGGAATATCTGCCTGTTATATAAAAGATGAGACAACCTGTGGAGATAATTTTTTATTCTGTCCAGTAAGTAACCAAAGCTGACCCACAGCTTTTGGCAATGGGTAGCCCTTTGATTCTTTCAGATAAGCATTCTTTATAGGTCCTTTCTTTTGAAAATTAACCATTGAGGCATTCATCTTAGAACTATGTGGCATTTGGCTTAGAACAGGGATGGGCAAACAATTGTACCTCTGTATTAATTTGCAATACACCAGCAAATCAGATGTGTTTTGCTGTTGTTTAAAATAGCAACAATAAAAAGTCTTTTGGAAGACAGGGAGTCAGGTTGTTCTGATGCAGACTTGCATTTGTATGTGCAAATTATCCCAGTGTGTTCCTGTAAGGCCATATTTGGCTTCACTCCATTTTGCACCTATTTTGTATCTGTCCACTCCCCTGAAGGCAGAGGCTAGGATTGCCTCCACACACTGATCATCCTCCAGAACCTCTAGATGGCTGATTTTGGCCCTGCTCCTGAGTCTAAAGCAATGCTGGAGTCTATATAGCAATGCCTCACTCCTCCCCTTCCTGCTTTCTACAGCACATGGTCCCAAGATAGTTTTCTGTTTTAGAGCTATAGCCAGCACAGAAAGAACTGCACTAGGTGTGAGTCAACAGGAATGATTCTGCAAACACAGAAGCCATATTAGAACCTTAGGGGAATTTTCTGAAGTGTAGCAGGGACTTGAACATTTTCCATGGCTAGTCAGGCATCATTTGGTTGCTGTAGAATTGTGTCCTCAATCATATAATGATCATTGACTGACAGTACAATTGTATGTTTGTCGACACAAGATCTGAGATATGCTTGAAAGTGGTATATATATCCATTTATCCACATATGATTCATGTTGCTGTAAAAAGTTACTTCTCTAAGAATAAAAAAGGAGAAGAAGTGGAGCACTGCAATCTTTTGCTTAGTTATGAAATTGACTAGACTGGAGCTTCTTCCATTATGGCTGAATCAAGTTCCCATTCTTATGTCATATTCTCATTAGCATAGGGACATCATGTTACACAACCATATTGAACCACATATGGTATGCCTGAGAAATGACTGGGCTAACTGTAGGTTGTTCTTTCTCTTCCCTATAGGATTCCAGACAGATATTTGTGCCGAGTTACCAGGGCACATCTCCCAGGAGGAGTCTTCCTCCACCCCCGTTCTTCTCAAGTGATGAACCAGTGATGGTCACTCCAGAGTACTGCTTGGGGATCAGTAGAGAGCCTGCCACAGGTAGCAGCACAGGTGAGATTGGGAAATCATGGTTGGCAGGATGGCTTGTTGCTCCAAAATATGCCATCGTGTGGGAACAAGGCTGGTTCAGATGACTTGACAATCTACTGTTGCTGGTAACCCATGAGAGCTTGTCATGTCATGCAAAGCCAGTCAATTATATTAGACTAGGAAGGTTCCACAATCAGGAATCAGAAGAACCACATTTGTTCTCACAAATGGCCAAAGATATATCTAGACTAGTGCCATGGAAGCAGTAAGGAAAATTCTCTCTCCATGCCTGTGGGGGGAATCTCTCTATATATCATCTTTTTCACTCTTGGTCTCAATCCCACACCAAACTTTTAAGATAATAATTACAGTAGCACTCAATTTTATAGGACTGTGGTAAAGGTCATGGAACAATATATGTAAGGTATATGGGCAATTAGAAGAAAAGCACTAAATAAATATTTTATTTAAGGTATTTGTATTGGTGACTCACCAACAATGTTCTCTAGGTGGCTCCCAAAACATAAAATATTATAATACAATAAAATACAATAATCCAAAACAAGAAATTGTAGAAGAAAATATTAAATAGTGCTATTGTCTGTACATGCAGTATCTCAAGTTCTGCAACAAAGCTGCTGTCACTGAAATTCCCACCCCAAAGTTCAGCATGTCTCCAGTCATCAATGGTTCCCTGTTTCTTTCCGAATGCTTGATTATGCCACGTTAGGTGTATCTTAGACCATTAAAATCAATGGCCTTAAAGGTGCCTAACTGAATAGGATTAGGCTTTATGTGCCCACCCCATGCGATTTTGAGCAGTCTTTTCCAAAAATTCCAAATATTACTGTATATATACAGTTTCTTTGACAGATAGCTTTGCAGAACACAATATGGATGTGATGTTTCAGCCTTGTTACACAGACAAATTGGGTTGGTTCCAAACTCAGTTATGCCTAAAGTACAACCACTGAATTAAATAGCACTTAAGTTAGCCATGAAATTAATGTGCTTTGCTATATATTATTGGCTTAACCAAATCAAGTTTATTAGGCAATCAATTACAGGTTATAGTCAAAAAAGAAAATTACAGCCCAAGAAATCAAATATTTATAATGCATAAGTCATACACAATAGGCAAATTCTTATACTTTATATTATTCAGCATCTGAAGCTAATAAACATATGAGAATAAGTGCATTAGCCCTGTCACCTCTGTTGTTGCATACATTGCCCTTTACATGTTGCGTGGGAACTTCTTGTTCCTATGAAGGCTATCTATGTGATCTGGAACAATGGGAAATCAGAGATCAAGACTGCAAGGAGAGCTTCCACAGGTAGAATGAGCTCTCTTCTTCAGAAAATTCTCCTCTGCATGTCCAAGGTGATAAACGCGATGACAGAGAAGGGCAGGGCTAGCACACTTCATCTCTTTGCATGCTTATTAGCCCCAGATGTGCAATGCTTGGATACGGTTTATCTTTACAAAGTGGTAAAATCTGGGACAGAAATGAAATACATGAGAGGTCACCTCTGCTCTGCATTCATATAGAATTCACATAAAGAAATGGAATGACATTATTTGTTCATAAGGAGTGTGGCTGAGCTAGACATCCAGCAGATAACAGACAATTCACTCATTATATATGATATGACTGAAAGGTGTTTATCAAGATTCTGTGACTACTAGGTCAACAAGACCAGAGTGGAAGGTAACTTTGAGTCTGGACAGTCTGAATGTAGACAAAAGAGATGCCACTAGCTTTAGACATAGCATTGTGCCACTTTCCATTCTCCTGAAGATAGCAAGGGGAAACTATTAAATATCTTTTTGGGTGTTTGTGTGTTGTAGTAATTGTATTTTGACAAGTGTGCTTTTCTTAGTTTGAGAGACTCTGTATCTATGATAGATCTTCCTATTCAATTACCTTTTCTGTTTAAAGAGCTCTGGCATACAATGTGCATGGGAAATGCTGGAAAGGAAAAACTAGAAAATACCTTACAGGAATACTTTCACATTGGTCAACCTTTCATTCAGGGACTGGATTTTCCAGGGTATGTTTTAATTAAATACACAGCATAAAATGCTAACTAGTTGCAGCTCTGCTCTGGAAATCAAGTGGAACTGATACATCTGAATAGATCCATTATTTGATGGATTTATTCTAGAGCCGCTGTGAGCTCCATTAAACGCTGAGCAGATTCTTCTTACAAAGCAGATTCACTTGAGTTCATGGTCATTGCAAATACCAGTTATTGTTGAAGCAAAGTCAGGTTTGTTTGCCTGACTTCAGTATTAGGCCAGCAAATAGACACCTTTTCGAAACAGCTCTGAAACTTGACTTCCTTGACTTAGGATCAAATGACACAACATTAGGTATGTGTTTAAAATGACCTGGTGGCTTTGATGGGAAAGAGAGCAGCCATTGGATCCTCATCTACATCAGGACTTGCACTGATTTTCTGCTGCAAATCTCTCTGTTCTGGTTGCAGCTAGGTCGGGGGCAATTTTCAGCCGAAAACAAGCAGAAAGTCCTGATCCAGACTGATAGCATGTAGGGCTTCTGCCTCCTCAGTCCACCACTGCCCTTTAAAAATAATTCCTTACCTGCCTCCTCCTCCTCCTTAATTTGCCCTAAAAATGACTTGCTTCCTCCTCCTCCTCTACTCCCCTGTAGTTGTCTTAAAAATGGACAGTACCAGCAGGTTTGGGACAGTGTCAGGATTTCCTTTCTCTCAAGGAAAGGCCTTCCTTTGGAGCAAAGCATCTTGAGTGGTGCCATTGTTTTTCTGTGATGGTGGCAAATGTTGTTCACAGTTTAAACCATTAAAGTGTAAAATTTAAAGTTTAAACTTCAGTGGTCTGAACTGTAAACAGTATTCACCACTATTGCAGCAGTGTAGCTCTGGTGCAGAGCTACAAGGCAAAGAATTGAGCACTTTTGTCAGGATTTGGGCTTATCTGGAGCTCTCTTTGATAGGTTGTAGGCCCCGCTGGAGCTCCCTGATAAGCACCAGCTGGGAAGCCTGGAACAAGGAGCTGTATAAGAGCAAGCTCTTCCCTCCAGAAATTGCCCCAGCAATACAGATCTTCCTATCTGCATCTGTATCGAGCTAGATCCTGCCTTGTTGTCTGACCTTAGCCATATGAGTTTCCCTGCTAGGTGCGGGCCATGTCTTGCCATGTACTACCTTGCTGTATCCTGCTATGCTGTCTTGCCTCAGCCATGCAGGTTGTCCTGTTAGCTGTGGTTCAGCTCTTACACCATGCCTGCACCTTGATGCAGCTGCTTCCTGCCTTGCCGCATCATCATTCCATGTGTACCATGCCTTGCAGTATCCCGCCTTCCCTCACCCCACCTCACCATCTTCCTACCTAGCCTTACTTGCTATGCCTTCACTGCTCTTGAATCCTTCCTGGTACCCACACCCTGCTCTTGTTGTCTTTTGATGCTTCACTGCATCCTTGTCTTGCCCTCATGCACACGCCCGGTTCCTGACCTTGGCCTGTCCTGTGACTACTGGATGTGGGCCATGTTTGAACTCTGCCCTGAATTCTGTTTCTTGGGTCTCAGTGTATGTGCCTTGACTCCTGCTGCCCTTGTCCTGGACCCCGACAGCTGTGCATGCCATGCCACAACTGGAAAGTGTGCAGGCTGAGGTGACAGAGCCCTCTGTGACACAAAGTAGCAGAGTGGCGGCAGTGATGGGGAATAGGAGAGGCAATTTGCTGTCCTTCCCTTTTCAGGGCTTAAAGCAGTGATGGCTGTAGGAACAGATCACAGAGCTGCTTTTTCTCCAAATTAAAAGTGACCACATTAAGGGAGCTTCTTTGGCCTTTCTGGGTGCAATGGAGCATCTATGAAATGCAAAAACTTGCTGGCAAACAAGCTAATTTTGACTCTGTTGGTGCTCCATAGAAAGTATGGATACCATTTAATTTTTTTCCCCTACAATCTTGGGTGCTTGCTGGGGAAGGGATGGTTTGGCAAAGATGCTCACTTCTGATATAGCTACTCCATCTTTTTCTTTCACATCCACCACCCCACAAGAAGCAGGGGGGAAACTTGCAGGGTTACAGATTGACAGTGACATTGTCTGGAACTTCTGTAAAATTCCACGCATGAAGCAGTGCAATTGTACAAGAAAAGCCTCATCTGGAAACACCTTGGGTGGCAAATCCTATAGCAATCCCCTCCCTTCCACTGTACTAAGTAATAGCAAAACCTTCTAAAAGACCAATCTCAGTATTTCCTTTAGATGAGCCTGTCAGGCTTCATTTGCTCCTCTCACATCCTATCTCATTTTACAACCATCTGATACCACATCTGAAAACTGGTGTTTTTTCCATTTGCCTCACTCAAACAATTTAATTTTTCTCTCTTCCCTAAGCCCAGCATACCCCTTTAGGAAAGGAGCAGTGAAGTGGGACAGACAAGGTAGCAATTCCAGAAGAGGATTTCATTTTTTCAAATCTTTATCTCTTATTGAATGTTATGCCAAGATAAAGAGGGTGCTAGCAGGAACTAAGAGGTGAAGTCATAGTGCGTAGCTGCTAAAGCTGCAATCCTATATACATTTACCTGTGACTAAATCTCATTGAACTTAACGAAACTTATGTATAGGATTGTCCTGTCAACAATTTGCTAAAATACATTCATGGTATCTTTTCATAGGTTGTAAAAAACAAACAAACAGTTTAGGGGTCCACAGAATGAATGACTGAAGAGGCATAACAGAATATAATTGAAGGAACATGAAGGACACAGGGAGACAATCCATGTCCACCAATATTGCTATGGGAGCTTCCAAAGAAGAGTCCGCAGTAATCGTATGAATCTAGGAATCGCATGACATGAGAAGTAGTAATGGCACAGACCCTAACCATTCATTGCTTTGGCTAACAACTGGGTAGGAAGGAAGTCTTCTGTTAGCCCCATTCATGTAGTTTCTTGGTTCAGACATGAATGAATCTCACCATGAGCTGCCATCTCCTTTACGACTAACCAGACACTCTGAATGTGCTCTGTCTTGTCTATGCATGCTATGATACCCCTAGAAAAAATAACTAATACAAGACAGGTGATTCCTAATCCTTCAAGGAAACTATGTCAGAAAGGTCATTTTACAAATTATCTTTCTAGAGGATCTATGCAAGTTTTAAGAGCTGTTTTTGTTTAAATCTTACAGTTGCATGTAGATACTCAAAAGAAGAGTAACCCAGTGTTCTGGAACAATAGACCCAGCACTATCTGGGCTCATCAACTAATATCAACCAAGTAATTGTACCCAGCATAGTTCCTCTCCACACTTCTCCAGAATCAGGGAATGACCAAAATTGCTCGTCTACCTTATTGGGCTACTGCTGCTTCCATCATTTGAAGGCAAAGCCAGACAGTGACGTTAGTGGGGGGCAGGGAACAACTTGTCTGGCTGAGCTATGTGATTAGTATTTGCATATGTTTCCACTCAAGACAGAGCAAAACCAGAATCAAAGTGTCTTTGTAACAGATGAATTGGTCCTGAGAACATGCCTGAATCTGTTGTTAAAGGCTACATTAAAGGAAAGCTTTTTAAACTCTTAAGCATAAGAACATTCCACACCAACACTTATTTCTATACAAACACATACAGATTCACATTTCAATTCTTCTTCTCTCTTTCTGAGCTTTTCTGAGGCTGTTAATTGGCCATTAATCCACTGTATGTATTTTCTGTTTCATCGTAAAATTGAGACCTGAGTTTTTCTTCTTTTTCAGTTTATAACCTCTAGGTGGAAATGTGGTATAGCAGAGTAGTGTGAATACACGAAGGAGAATGAACTTTCTTTCACTTTTATAATTAAATGCCACATTTTACTTGCTCTAAAAAGAACTTGCCAGAAGTGCTTGTTAGACACAGAAGTAAAACTAGAGGGTCACAACATTGTCTCACATAAACAACTGTTAGTAGGAAATGATGAGAACACAATAAATGCATTGTGTAGAAAAGCCCTTCATGTCCCACTTTGAACAACCCTCATTTGGATGCCTTAAGAGCCTAATACGAATAAACCCTCTATTCCACTCCCCCCTGCCCCCATTCCTAATACTGGGTTATGGTTGCCTGTGTCACCAACACCACCAATTTTCTAGTGTGACTAGCAGTGTGAGGATGGGGAGGAAGGGAGAGGGAAACCAGGTTTGGGCCAGAGATCTGACTAGGCTGTATTACAACATGGATGTAAATGCCTGAAACAGCATGTACATAGAAATGTTCCTACTTCAAATGCTTGTAATCATGATCTGGAAAACTGTGCCTTCAGATTTTGGATTCCAGTGGGGATGCGAAATGGAGTGAAAAAATATCAGGGTGGTGGCGGGGGAATCATATTATCTTTTAAATATTTGTTACTTAGAGGAACTGGGAGATGATTGCTATAGACATGCTACAAACATCAGTTTGCAAGCATCAAAAGAAAACCACAAAGAAACCTATCACAGAAAATTATGGTTTGTTTGCCTTTAACCAATAAATAATATGTCAGGGTCCACTTCAGAATACCTAGGAATCCATTTATTTTTCCACCGGATTAAAGTGCAGGATAAAACTGGACTAGGGCAAACATGAGAAATAGGTTTTAGCTTAAATCAGGGACAAATAGGCCACTTCCAAATAACCCATCATGGTATCTAACACTGCCATAATTAATAGTGGCTTCTGGGTTTAGGCTCTTTTTTACTGGAATAAGCAGAACATATGGCTTGAACGTACATCCCTGGCCTTGCTTTGCAGTCCCTCACTATCCCTGCATTGCCAAATATGCTGCTGAAACTAGCAAATTTGGTGGCACATTGTGATGGCAGCAGGAAAGGGTGTGATTTGTGGTGGGATGCGGGAAGGGAATTGGGTCCAAAGCCCTGGAAGTTGCCTACCCCTAATGCAAGGGATGGGGACAATCCAAAATCAGAACGGATTAGAACTCTTTTCACTGCAAAATATTGCAGATGTGGTTTTCCCAGGTGAGGGAAATGACCTTGACAAACCTAATTCTGACTAGTTTACCTGAAATTCCCTTTGATGTTTCCTTTTGACTGATCAGCTGGCTCTGCTTTCCATGTGATTGCCACTAAACAGCTCTAGTGAACTGCCATGGGCTTCACTGTGCAGCAAACAAGGTATATAATGAAGCCCTCAGGCTATGACGATTATGAATTTGTCTCCGGGGATCATGCTTCTGGCATATTTGGGACAGAATAATGAAGCTGAATAACTCAGGGCTGTGCCATATGATGACCTATTTACTATGGGGAAACATTGATTTCTGGGGTGGTGGGTACTGAAGCCTTGCTAATGTGGCTTCCTGATTGCTTTACTGATTGCTTTACTTTGTACCAGGTTCTGCTGCATCAGGAAGCATGATCCTGTAAAATGTCTGCATTTGGTCTGGTCATTGCAGTGTTGAGCTAAGAGTTGAAAATATGATGAAACCTATTCAGTGTACTTTGCACACCATATAAGCTATATCCCAGCACACCAGAAGAGATGTGTTGGGTAGATGTTGAGATCAGATTGTTACATTCCCTTATAAAGTCTCCTCCATAAGATGAATTCAGATCACTGAATGTGAATCACATGGTTGGCATTCTTTTCTGTTATGGAAGATGGCCTGATGCTCTAGGACTTTCTTAGTCCTTCATTTAACAGAGCAGAAGCTTCAAAACAAGCCACTGGAACATTAGCCAAAATCAATTAGTCAGACAAGACCAGGCATCCAGGCATCCAGTGAGAGAGCCTGAAAGGCTAAATGCTTCTTGGAGAAGCTACTTCAACAAATGCTGATTCTGTGCTCATTAAAGACTAAACAAAAATGCTTAAGAGGGAGTTTAGCTGGAATTGTATTTAAGTTGCTTTAAGTAAGATAAAGCCCAGGCTGTGGCAGCTGTATTTGTTATCTCAAGAAGATTATTAGTAATAAACCAAATAGTCAACAATATTAAAATTCATTAGATGCTTTGCTTAGCTAGCAAGTTGATTGGACCATTTGTTGGGAGAAGATACAGAATGAGTTCAAAGATTGCTTTTTGCAATTCAGTGGAGGGACAAAAGTTTGCAGTTGGAGCATACACCACCAAACCCAACAACATAGATTCATACCAGGTATTAGTGCAAAGGCCATTTCAAGATTTTACAGGGCTAATAACATTGATGATAACTGAAAACTGTCAGAGAAACAGGGCTGACACAACAAATGTGGACAATTCTGCTAATGTGGGTTTCAACATCTCAGCTATACAGCCCTGAAAACATGTGGAAAGATGTCCAGCATTTACCTACCAAGGGAAAAGAGAACTAGAAATTGAATAGGTTGGGGGATCAGATAAAACACATACATTGGCCTTAAATGCCAGTTCTAGAGACACATGGCTGCTATTATCTTGCATTTGCACAGCTGTGGCAAAATATTAGGAAGGCAAGAAGCACTGTTGTGTCCTGTGAGATGTTGCATCTTCATAGGAATCATATTAGAAGAAGTTATTATTACCATATAAAATATGCTGGAATGTACAAATGCTGCATGACTCCTCAAAGGCCATCAAGAGGGAACAGGAAAAAATCATGTTGAATGTTGTGTCCTCTGACCTTTCTACTTTGTCTCCTTTTTATCCACATGCAGTGGGTACAACTGGGGCGTAGCTGCTGCTAATCCAATGGTTTGATTCAGTTATATTGGTAGGAAAACTAAGTATATAGTTAAAGGTCAGATACATGACTGATGGACATCTGATTCAAATATCACCTTAGCAATAGACTCACTGTCAAGCCTGAGTCAAGACACTATTGCTGGGTTCACACAACAGGACAAGCCAAGGAGGTTTTTTACCAGTGTTGTTCTGTCATGTTGTCTGAACCTGATAATATTTCACCATAGTAAGTTTGGTCTTTAGAAACCACAATTAGGGACAGCTTGTTCTAAAGTTTCTCTATACTACAGTGGCTTGTCACATCATCTGAACCCAGAATTAAGTTTTCCATAGTCTTGGTATGCAACTAGGGTTGGGATGAACCCAAGTGGATTCCCTCTTCCCAGGACTCTGCAGACCTCCTTGCATGCTCAGCCTGGTGCTGCAGAGCAAAGCTGAGCCAACATGAAGTGCACAATCTCTTGCAGACCTCTGGTTGCACAACCAGCAACCTGGGTAAATGAAGCAGTCCCAGAGTACCAAAATGTTACATAGGCCCCCCTTCCTCGATGTGGTCTAAAGCATATGGAGGTTCCACATCTCCTAGCTTTCTTGACTATGAGTTACGTTGGCTGAGCCTGTTGGGAATTGGTGTCAAAAGCATCTGGGGGGAACCACACTGGGAAAGCCAAATATAGCCTTTTAGATTATAGCAATGGCAAGTTTGGTTTGTGGATTAAACCTGCTTTTAAAGGGAACTGGGGAAAGGGAGTGGGATGCACTTTTCCATTTCCTAGCAGGCAGAGTTTTGGAAAAGTGCAACATGTATATCATTCTGTCAGGGAAAGAAAAAGAGGCATAGGTCTTGCTGCAAAGTTGGTTGAAATCACACCACCCCCTCCGTTCTCTAGCAAAGCTCACTTGTGCCTTTGCTAGGATATAACAGCTTGCCTTTTGACAGCTGTTAATGGAATGCAAAGGAAAGAGAAATCTTATTCTGACTCTCCTTGGGTCAGTTATTGTGCAAATTATTGTTGTGTGGCCACTTTGAAGGTGCCTTAAGTGGCTTTCAAAATGGAGCTCACAAAAACCAGGATTGGTATGAATTCATTGAAACAGAGCCCACCCTTTTCACCTCCTACTGCTGTAGGAGAAACAATAGTAGTAGAAAATTCTGATACTTCAGTGAGGAGCTTTCCAAAGCCAGACCTCTTCCACCTGTGGACATTCCAAAAGGGGAGGCCCAGAACATCTAACAGCTCCTCAGCTATCCTCTCCACAAGATTAGGATTGTCCCTTATTGTTTGATGTAGTCTAACTTGGCCTCTTTTTCTTGTCCTTGTCTGATAAAAACTCACACTGCTGTTCAGCGAATTTGATTGGATGCAGGGTCTAGAGCATGGAATTAATAAGTAGTTCTTAATTTTCCCCTTTATTTTAATTGGTATGCTCCTCTCTTAATAAATCTCTAGCTCAAGGAAGGCTCTAGGTGCACAAAAGAATTTTAGATTTTCTTCTCTCAAACAGCAGCTTCCTACTGTTGAGGAGTTTCAAACCAATTTGAAGCTGAGGGCAGTTTCAAAAGCAGTTGATGTTAAGGCACTGAACGCTTCAGCTCTTCAAATTGCATTGGCTAAGCTCAAGCCCTTTGCCTGAAGCTTAAGCTGAACTTTGGATCTCAGCCATAACAACTAAATACCTCTGCTTCTAAAGACTAAAAATACAATATAATTTAAAGAGAAAGAAAGAAAAAGGAAAGAATGAACAGTTTCAACCATTAATATACTTTCTTAACTCTGCACCCACTTTTTAAAAAATGAAGTTTCATTGCAGCAGATGGAAGTGCTCTGTCATTGTATCCTTCACACCTGGTGCATGGTGATATGACAAAGGATGCTGATTTGTTCCTGCTGTTTTCTACACCACTGGCTCATTTTGCTCCAGCGGGTAAAAATACCTGTACTTATGTGCAAGCAAGGAGCTGCTGTTTATTGATAGCAGGGCTGGTCTCCTAGATCAAGAGCAAAAGCAAGCCTTGAGAGCTGCTGACACTTCGGGCTCTCTAGGGCATTTATCATGGAAAGGCATACTGGGTGCACATGCCAGGCATCACCGCTAATTCAGTGCTCTCCTTTTGTGGAGCGAGATGCATGTCTCCTTCCATATGCTCATGCTCTTTTTCACCTTGTGAGCATCAGTTCATTACAACTGGGGGAAATCCATATTAATGCGTTTAGTCAGTGGCTTAGCAGCAAGTATCGTGCTATGAGCTAACAGGCCTGAACTCCGACATCTGAAACATTTATACCGAAGGATGATTATGATAATGCCTTTCTGGCTGCATCTATCATTTATGCATCTGAAATCAGTCTTATGGCAAACAACGGCTGGCATGTTTCTTTCCTTGTTCAATTAGAAGCATTAGGAACTTGAAGATCATACTCAAATTGGAGAAAGTTTAAAAGCTGGCCTAGAGATAAGATCTAAGGCCACATTGGGTCATTTTCTTCTAACACAGTCATAAATCTGACATGTTTTTCATGGAAAAATAGGAGTTTCGAAGAGGCTCTGAGATCTCACAGGGTTAGTTATAACTTATATTTTACTTCTGTTTTACTTTATACATTTTTTCTTTTGGTGATACAGTATGTATCTACAAATGCAAAAAAAAAAAAAAAGAATGTGTAACATGCTGTATTTGGAAGCATGTATCATCTAGGATTGGCTACCTGTTGGGTCTATGTTCACTGGCAAACCTGGGTTTGCTACAATATAATTTGTGAATATATAGAGAATGGGGAATGGATGGGCTGGTATTAAGAAAATATTTCATTAATAATAAAAGGAGGGGGACTTACTGGTAAGGGCTTGCTTGCTCTTTCTGATGCAAGTTTATCAGCACTTAAATTATGTACATCTGCGCCTATATGACCTTATATGAGGTTGAATGTGTGAGGATGCACTATACCAGTTTGGGGTATTTTTACTTCAATATATACATCAAGAAGCCAATTTTAGCCATGTATTGGGAGAAATCTTTTATCACTATAACTTCATAAATATTGTTATTAAACAATGCAGGCTTGTATGTATGAAAAAATATAACAAAGGAATCCATTTTGAAACTTATTCACAGAGTAGACAAATACAATTTGGCAGCACTACATCAAGAAAGATAATTGGGGATTCAACCCCAGGATAGTCCTAGAGAGATGTAAAAATGGCCAAGCTTGTGATGATGGGGAGACTCATCAAGATGTAATTCCTTGTGTATGGAGCCTGGCCTTTTTAAATGGAATGATAGTGGGGAAGTATGGCCTTCTGGGAGTTGTGGGAACATTTTTTTCTGTCTAACCATTCATAGGATTGTACCTTATGTAGACAGGAATATGGAAGACCCACTGCTTAGTTTACTCTTCAATGTTTTGCAAGGACTATTGGAGGGATTCCACTAAATAACCTCACCTACTTACTTTCTTTTCCCTGATGGATTGTTTGCAGGAGGATCCTTGAAATCATGCACAAGTAGCCTAGGAATTAAGGAGCTACAGCCAAGATGAAGTAGCAGCAGCAGCAGCAGCAGCAGCAGCAGCAGCAGCAGCAGTTGTTAACATTTCTATACTGCTCATAGCCAAAGGTCTCTGAAAGGATCACAACTTTAAGTCACCCATCCAGATTTCAATCAGGCCTGACCCTACTTAGGTTTAAAGATTAGGCAGGAACAGCCATTTCATGCAAAGGTTGTGTCATAAAAGATGGTC